GTGTGATAGGCCCGCGGCCAGGTATAGGGGGTCCGTCGCCTCCTTGTCACTGGCGTCACATCGGGCATCGCTGTACCGAGGCCGCAGGTCCCGCACGTGCCACGGTACGCCATCCACCTCGGCCACTTGCGATGACACGATCCGCGTGACGACGCCCTGACGAGATGTTTGCCGTACATCACGTACCAGGCGGCGCATCCAGACGAGGTCACCAACTTGTAACGTGGAGTTGCCGGGCCGTTGCCGCGCCTCGTCTGGCGCCAGCGGGGGCCGCTGCAAGTCATCGGCCGTGTCACGCTGGCTGGTCTCCACGCGGTCTCGCATCTGGTACTGGTATGCCAGCGGCCGGTGCGTCCGCAGCGGAGTGGCCAGAACGCGGGGTGGTGCTGTACAGGTGCACGGCCTCTGCAATGGCGCAACGTCGTCGCGCAACCATCACTTTTATCGTGCGGTGACTGCGCTCCACGATGCTGTTGCCGCCTGGCTCATAGACGGCCCGGAAGAGAAGAGCTGTGCCCAACTTTGACGCCAAAGCAGCCATCTGACGGCCACGGAAGACCGTGTCGTCATCCCCAGAATTCCTGTCGGCGCGCCGCGCTCGAGAAGATCGCCTCTAGATGTTGGACGACTTCCGTTGCATCGGCACGGCGCAGCTGCCACCACAGGCTGTACCGGGACGGGCCGCAGTCAATGAGGGACAGGTACGATCCACCTTAGTAGTAGGTCACGTCTGTCGCGAGACGTGTCCACGTGTCGGGGACGTGTAGCGAGCCATGCCGCCACCGCGTTGGTACTGAGTCGATGGATCGGCACACATCGTACCGACCAACAACTGATCGCACGGGGGTTCGCGACGCCTTTCGCGTTACGTCGCGCCTCACGAAGTACGGTTGTCAGGCGGAACTTCTGGATGACCGGCACTCTCGTGTGCAGCCATGATCCGCGCCCCCGGTGTCCATGTTACCGTCGCCCTTCCGCCGCGCCAGCACCATCTATGTACGGCGGCAGCTGTCGCCCTGGAGCCGATGCGCATATACTCTTGCCACGTTCCCACGGCACCTGCACCCCCGACGCGTGCCAGGGTCCTAGCTGGCACATCGTCATCTACCTGAGCCCCGCACAGCAGTGGGTCAGAGTATCCGCTAGGTTTTCATCTGACCGCACCAGCGCGACTGTCAGCATCAGGTTAGCTCATCCATCAACTGTCGCATGACGTCAATGCGTCGTCGAATCAGCATTTTGTCCATGCGCCTTGGTGCGGAAAGGCACGCGGCCACTCAGCGCGCCGTCAATCCAGCGATGGACCGTAGCGGAGTCAGTGCGGAGGTCGATGATCCTTCATCCACCAAGCGATGGCCAGGTTGATGCCGCGCACCGGCCGCAATCTAGCTCCGCCCCTGTTGATGTGTGTTGACGTGGCCTCAGGGCGCCACCAGCAGGCATCCTCCACCGCACCGTCGTCCGGGCTCTCGGTAACCACACCTGCACCAATGGCGCTGGGCGCCCGTCCAAACGATGACCTCTTCACCTGTCGGGCGCCACGGGCCGCGGGCAGGGTCGTTCGTCCTCAGTCGATCTGCGGTCTGAGAGATCTGGGAGAGGAGTGCCACGTCCATGGTGGCGTCATCCCATCCGTGCGTGACGGCCTTCACCCTGCACTTCAGCCAAGCGACAGCAGGGCGAAGCCAGCCGCTGACGGTCAGATGAGCCACCAGCCGGCCCGCACCATGCGAACACAGCGCGCCGCGTGACCTGCTCCCGTGGCGCAGTGACGTCACTGTCGCGCGACCAGTGCAGTTTCGCCTCCACCAGCTGAACGCGCAGGCCGAGCAGGCGCGCGCCGTCCGCTACGCGCTCCGGCGTTTTGCAGGCCAGGCCGAAGCGAGCAAAGTGACGGACCACGCGGTCTGCGCTCACGATGTCCTCGTTGACCAGCAGGTCGTCCACGTATGGGAGCACGGCGCGCTGCATGTCGGCGTCCTCCGACAGCACCGCGCGAACGACAGCCTTCATGATGAGCGGGGCGACGTTGAGCCCAAGCCCCAGTCGTGTCAGGCAGTACCGCTGTCTTCGCACCATGACCGTCTGGTAGGGCCACAGTCGGCGTTCCAGACGCGGCTGCAGGTACGCCTTGCGTAGGTCCACCACGGCGACACGCGTCCCATGTCGCCGCCTCTTTTGGAGCTGGTCGGCGCAGACGCCCGAGTCCGCCGTGTGGGCCGTCACGAGGCTGTTAAGCTCGCGATAGTCCAGGACAGATCTCACCTTATCCTGATTTGCCTGCCGCACCGCCATCAGCGGCACCAGACCGCGCGGCGGTCCATCCACCTGTTTGTCGTACGGCGTCAGCCAGCCATTGCTGATCCATGCGTCGATCTCCGCGTCGTACGCCTGCCGCGCGTCCGCGGGCACAGGGTTCTCGGTCACCACGTTGCGTAGACATTCTGGACCTGTGCCGTCCGTCCACTTCCAGGTGACCGTCCACGCCTCCTGCTCGCCGCTAAACCTCGCCGTAAAGTCGGCTGCATCCACCTCCAGGCCTCGCTGGGTCACAGCTGCCGCCGCACAGAACCGCACGTCTGTCGGCGTCCGCACGCTGATACCTCCCAGGGCAGTGATGCCACTCATGCCGAGCACGACGTCAACACCTAGCGGTCGGTCCGGCACTACCAGGATCTCGAGCGTCACTCGACGGTCCTTGGTATTAACCCCACGCTTCCGGTCCGGCAGCATCTGAGTTCCTGGCCGTTAATCGTGGGCATTTTCACCGTCCGCGTTGTCCATTGTTCGCAGCGGCCAGTGCACACGAGCGTGTCTGCGCAGCCCGTGTCCACCAGCTGACCATCCGCCCGTTCACCTCCACCCAGGTGATGGGCAGCGCACCCCTCAATGGCGGGGAGACGGCGCTCGCACTGACGCGGCGTCCCTCGACTCGTTTCCCGTCCGACGTTGTGGACAGGCAACGGCGATGTGGCTCGACTCACCGCACGTCCAGCAACGTCGTAGTGGGCGTCTCGCCAAGCGCATCGTCGGGGCTCGTGGAGGCGCCTCTGCACGCACCACGGCCGCTGCCACAGCGACGCATTCATCTCTCGGCACGGCTCGTGCCCATGCGAGAAAGCTCGCTAGGTCCAGCGTCTCTACGCGGGTGCCGGCCTGGACCGCCTCGCGGCCTACGATGTCTATGGGACCAGCCGTCTGCAGCCTAGTGAGTCTGCGGACGCGTATCTTGCAGACCTGCGCCGGCTCACAGCTATTTCGGCCGGACCACCCCACACACAACGGCGAACTGCCGCACGCAACGCCGACAGGGAGACTCACCCTACGCGCCCCGAGCAGCACCTCTTGTTCTCCTCCCAAGCCACCCGCAAACACGATCGGCGTGCGACTCGCCGGCGCCACCGCGTCCCACCCCCGTCGGCGTGTCCACGGGCTAACGCACCACCCCTGAGCAGTGACCGTTTCTCTCACTTGGACATGAAACATCGCCTCGCACGGCTTACATGTTGCCACTGTCCTGGGGCATGATCTATTGCTACAGATTGTTCTGCCGACATTAATTAATGTACATTGCACCAGCAGCTACTGGCTAAACAGTTGTTTGAGAGTTGTGAAAGAAGCGAAGCGTGCATCCTCCTGGACTCGTCCAAAAACCGACTGGCGCCTGCGAGCGTCGGGCCCCTGCCGCCGCCTCAGCGGCCGACCCTTGACCCCCGGCGAATCGGGAGACCTGCGGTCACGTGACGCCTCCCGGCGCCCAGCCAGATGTAGAGCCCGGAGGACAGCGAGGCTGCCTCCGCGACAGGCCGCCGCCGCCGCCGGGTGCGCGTCTTCGCCCCTAAAAGCACATGGTGGGAACGGCAGCCGCCGTCCCATGGCTCCGTCGCCAGCGCGGCGGCTCCCACGAGCTCACAGGCGCCCCCTCCCAAAACACGACTAACTGGTAGCCGGGGCGCATAGCCCGCACAACCACACCACACAAGTAATCAGCGGTGAAAATTATCAACACATGTATTGTTGTTAAATATAACCAACACTTGCTTGATAACGTCGCTTCACCAGTACACCCTGGCATGCGGATCATGACACATTGAGCGTCGCTCGATGGAATATGATTTCCAAACACGTCAGGCCGACAAACCAGGGACTCAGTGCCTTCCTTGCCCGCATCTGATTGTTTTCTAGTAATCCGACCATTACCCCGATAGGGGCGACCGTATACCATCACAGGAGCAGGTCCGTTCAAGAGGCCGCGGCTGTAATGGCCTCGGCATCATTCGCGGAATTTCATTACGAATTTCGTCTAATTCCGGGGGCGATTAATCGCGGAAAGAGCTAACAGGTAGGGTTTTCCTTTCCGACTGTTTCTGAGAGCCTTCTGGGGCCGCTGTCCAGCTGCATGTGAGCCTCAGAAGCCAGCATGAAAACGTTGATTACATTTGGAAGAACTCTGTTCGGAAGCTCAAAGGCCTGTGGGACCAAACATGTTGAACCCGTGTGGCCCTGAGCCTGGACTGTTGGGTTAAGGCAGAAGTTGTGCCCAGTCAATTGGCGAATTCCACGCATTCCTCAGTTCGATGTGGGCACATCCCATTTGGAATGTCGATTACCTTTCACACGGACGAGATCGGTTACGTAGTGTTAAAATCCAGTCATCCCATAAATGCCGTTACGATCGCTGCGATCGCATTCAGGTCGCCTAAGCTTCGCCTTCGCCGCGCCGTCTGCCTGCCCCGTAGCCCCGCCCCATAGCAACGCGGCGATCAGCTGCTGCGGATGGCCTGCGGCTAAGCGACGCGCATTTTGTCCTTGAAGGTAACACGTGGAGTGCGCGTCGCCGGTTCCCGTCGCCATGTATGTTGTGTAAATAGAAGCATTCTATCAGTTCTCAGTTCTTCTCAAAGGTGATTGGGGATGTCTGATCCCTAGAAGGCAGCTATGAAAGGTAAGCCAGCGGTAGAAGCGAGCAGGCGCGCAGCCAGAGGTTTGGTAACGGGAGACCAGTGTCTACATTCCCGCCGACAATGCGCAGGGAAGAGCGTCGGCTTAGCTCAGTAATGAGGACCGGCTAATCAGCCGACGAAACGTCGCTGCCAGGCTGGGTAAATCATCTCAATGACAAGCTTTGCGCTCCTCATGACGTTACTGGTAGAAATGTGGAAAATAGACTTATTTTACTTCTCGCAATATTACAATGATTCACAAGCCGTTTATGATGACAACATTGAAAACCAAGCAGGTATTCGTAATAACACGTGTCCTGCATCCCACTGATGACGTCACTGGTACGAATGAGTCGGTCATCAGTTGAAACTTTCAGTGGGACACGTTTTTCGGGCTGTGTTCTCCCGCTGCTCACGATGTTCCGGGAGAATGTTACGGCGCACGTGCATCTGCCTACGTACTCGTGGTTTACATTCTTATGTCATTTGAAAAACAAATGAACTAAAAAATGAGCTGCGTTTTACCTGCTGCTCATGACGTCGCGTGACACGAGTTACGGTCTTCGTTTCGCATCACTGGGGAACCTGATCGTGGCGGAAAACCACCTTTCGCAGCAGGCTTCCTCAAGAAACTACTGCAAGGAGGTCCAAGTGATCCATGAACAAACCGCATTCAGACATGTCCTCACTGAGTTGCCAGTGGGGCCGGAGAAAGGCGTGAACTGACTCAAGGTTTTCGGCTACCGACATTATCGGTCTTTAACAAACATTTTAAAATCGTGTCCATTGGTGCAACTACTGGCGGACACCATCACACTTATGACCACACCACATCACGCTAATGATCTTTGCAATGTTGTTGTCAAGTGACTGACCTCATCTCTGCTGCCGTTGCATTGGAAGTCAAAGTGTGCTGAAAAGTAAAATACTCCATAATGGCAGTCCAACCATCAACATGAGCTATACATACAACATGAGCTATATACATACACATGAGCTATAAACACAATAAAAGCGTATTAACAGTACACAACGAACAATGCCATATACTTGGCGATTCGTCAGATCCCAGCCGCACAGCCATTCTCGTCGTTCCGACGCGTTGTGGTGCATAGGCTATTAGACACATGATGGGCCATCTGAAATCGCAATTACCTACCACAAATCAAATCAAGGTTAAGAACTTTATTCAAGGTCGGTCAACAATACACGCTTGACCGCCTCAATACGTAACTAGTCATTTTTTCGCCATTTGCCATTTGCCTCCATGCGTGAGCTCCTGTATGCTAGTTTTTCCGTGTGGATCTGACTGCGTACCATTTGGGTCTATGGCTGGAAATGACCTTAACATATTCCGCAGTGTTATTTCTACGTCTTATACAACTGGTGCCTCTTTGGCACGAGACACGCGTGCTCTGGCCTATTGTGTCTCTGCCCTCTCCCCACCCAGTCTCTAAGCGCACGCTTCCTCAAAGTTAACGGAACGCACCATTCGCTCCCACTCGTGGCGCATCATGTTTAATGTCAACAGTACCACAATACTCTGGCATTTGACGCGGTGTTGCTCCATACGGTCCGCTGCTAGACGCCAAAGCCTACTCTTTCGCGCATCCTATTTCAAGAGAATTTGCAGCTAGCACCACAAAACTGCTCTCTGCTCCCCTTGCCCTGAGCACACCCCTACTACTAAGCACGCCGTAAAGCAGTGGAGCGAACTGCGCTTATGCAAAACTTGCTATCTCATCCACATTATACATTGCTGTATCATTGTTATACATCCCTCGGTCTTATTGGATGCCGGGTTCACCGCTATCTGGCCCATGCTGTTACCACGATCGACGGCCTGGGCCGATCAGCTGATCGTTCGCGCCAACTCGCCTGTCGTCAAGCGCGTGCATTTTGGCGTCTGCATGAACATGTTCTAATTGGCCGGACAGGAGAATTTTATATATATATATATATATATATATATATATATATATATATATTTCATTTACCTCGAAACAGGTTTAAACTGGTGTCCTCGAATGACTGTACCAGAGGAAACTATACTGACAGGTTTGAAATGGACAGATAATGCTGACGATCGACTCGCAAATAGTTCGTCTTTGCTTTTCACCGGTCCTGATATTTCAGTGACGTTAACTGTCCCTCAATCATTTGACCTATTTGCAAAAGTTCTTAAGCGCAGCAAAGTTTGGTCATGCAGTGAAATTTGGATTGCATTGCGGACGTAAGATTTGGTAAGGTTACAAAAACATTTGGCTAGAAGCGATTTCTCGGCTTGTGCTAGCAGTGGACACATGGGCGGAGAAACGTGTCAGAAAGGTGAGGGTTGCCCAAACTTATTTTGTACTCGAACGATTCGTGCTTAACATTCTCGGAAGGGGAAGGGGGACACCACACCTGTGTAAACGCCGTTACCTCCCCTTTGACACAAAACACATTTTTATTGAATCCCACTTCCCATGTCTGCTGTTTTCTGCGCTACATGCGCATATGCTACAATCACATTTGATAATCTTAGGGGAAACACTCGCTTTATGGTACACACATATAACCGCTCTCAAGTGTTGTACTGCTGCAGACGGTTAAGTATTGCGTCGATCTGAAATTGAAGTAATATGTATATATATATATATATATATATATATATATATATATATATATATATATATTACCACATGCTTCAATGACAGATTATGTCATGCGCTATTCAGCATTCAGTGAGGAACCGCAAACATATACAAATATAAGAGGCAATCAATCCGCAGAGTTAAATGATGTTAATAAACCAATAGTTTTAGCCTCATTCCTGGCAGAAAAACCAGGCCAATGGGGATATAGTTCGGATGATATTTGGGCAACATGCCTCTATCGAAACAATACCAGAAGTTTGCTACTGCTCTTGTTTTTGAATTGCTATTGCTTTTGCTGTTTGAAGGTTGGTTCTGATATAGTTTTCATAAAGTTTGTTGTCGAAATATTAACCGAACTATATCTCCATTGTCCTGGTCTTTCTCCGAAAAATAAGGCTAATTCTGTCTTTTCTATATGAGTGATGTTCCTCGCTAATGCACTGCACAACTCACGTAATTCTAAATGGTGTTGAATGATGTTGAAATCATTTTAAAAACGCTTAGAGAACAAATGCAATATGCGTCGCTCGGCAGATCACTACCGCGGATTAACACTGGTTACTAGGCACAAACCCACAGCGTACGTTCAGGCCGACGCAATACCTACCCGCCTGTGAACATGACACAAGGTTCGCACACAGCTATATGTCAATGTCATGAGACGTGTGTTTGTTTGAAAAATCGAGTGTGAAAGTCAGGCACGGCGTGAGAGAGAAGTCATCACATTTGGGACGGATAAATCAATCACGTGCCTTTTGGGCTGCAAGCGTAAAAACGTGAGATCTCTACGTCTTATGGCACCCCCCCCCCCCTTCCAAGATTGTTGAGATATACCTTACGGCAACCAATGAAAGCAATGACTGCAAAATGAGTATGGGCGACGACTCTTTCTGAGACGTTCCTCTGCCTAGGTCTCGGCACGCAGCGCCAGTCCACATATTACCTTTCCAGCCAAGCACTTCCATTTACCCTCCGGCCGTCTCTTGTAAAATCTCGAATTTCACTGCATGACATCGCTGTTCTGCATTTATAAACTACTGCAAGGTGATCCAAATTATTCCTGGGCACAACGTTATTGAGGTAAGTTCAAGCAAGTTCAAGAGTAGCAAGTAGTAGTTCAAGTAGAAAGTTCAAGAACTTTCGTCCCGTCGCACCGAGGGATTCTCAGGGTTCGGGTCCCTGAGAAGGCAAACTGCTGTGTTCTACCACTGTATCTAGCGGTAGGTTTACATGTTTACAAGTTGTGTTGACTTATGGTGGGTGTGTGGCGCTATTTGCAGTGCTGATCTCGCCTATGGCCTAAACAAGTGCGAAATGGAAACACGCTTGCTCGCACGACTTGGTCAGAAATGTTCGAGTTAAGCGTGCTGGGAACATCTCGGTGTAAGACTCGTAGAACGACTGCACGTTGGTCGATATGCAAACTTGGACCCGAGTTGTGTGATATTAGTTTTACAGCAGCAACAAAGCGACATTGCCATTATTAAGTCATGATCTTGCTTGGAAGCTGGCGTATATTCAGGTGGTGACCAGACAGGGACGTAAGTTCTTCCTTTATCCGATAGGTGGCAGCACCGTGATAAGAGACCGTCCAGTGCTGAGTTGAAATTCACTCGTGATTTATGGTCTTGAGCAGCGGAAAAGCGATCGCGTTTATCAAGACATATCCACCGTTCCGTACAGGTCCGATTGGTTGTGATTGGACTTCAGATACCACAGCATTCACATTCGAAGAATACTTTGCTACAACAGAGTTATAGCTAACGGCTAACGTTGTAACATTGTTGGTATGGTGGTCAAATTTGATGACATGCAGATAAGATTAGCGCAATATTTTTCTGTGGTCGCATCGACTGTCATTTTGATTGCAGGGATTGCTCTACGAATCGATTCGTGGAATATCCGCCTGGTTATGTTACCACACTATAGACAGTGATGCTGAGCCTAACATAAGTAAGCAAGTTTTACGCTGGGACGAGACTGAGCAGCCATCTGTAATTTTTGGCCGGCGTAGCGTGACGGGGCACCCGTACACATCTTTGGAAGAGTTTACTCCCTGTACGACAGCGCAGGAAAAGGGAAAGGATGAAAACAATCACTTGTTTCCCGAAGCCACTGCCCCACATTTTGCCCGTGTTTAACTCCACTGGACGTATAAAAATTGTACTCCCGTGGACAAAGGGGGCGAAACAAACTGCGGATGATGAGCCGATGTTTTTCCGCAGGTCTCAGCATGCTGATAGCGCCGCTGTTCATCGTTGTCCCGTTGGTGGCCACTCATCCGGCGACTCCCGGTAAGTGTGACAGCACGGTGTGACACCGGGCTACGGTAAGTGTGACAACACTGTGTGACACCGGGCTACGGTAAGTGTGACAACACTGTGTGACACCGGGCTACGGTAAGTGTGACAACACTGTGTGACAACGGGCTGCGGTAAGTGTGACAGCACTGTGTGACACGGGGCTACGGCTGACGCCTGGTGAAGGAAATCATGGCTTCTCGGCCCCGCTCGACCTGCCCGCTGAACACCGCCTTGTTTGTGAAGCCCGGGCGCCCCGCAAATTTGGCTGGTTGTTCATTTTTGACGAGGGACGCTCCTAGAATGTCGCGACGGTCGACGGTCACAGTGTTGCGTAGGCATTCTCCGTCTTCGGCCCCTTCGGAGATGTCCCCCGACGGGCGTCAAGTGTCGCTCGCCGAATGCTCTGCTCGTGCTGAGCGGGGGGGGGGGGGGAGGAGGCCGTCCTGCGTCACGTGCGCCGGGTCGTCGTGTAGGTCAGCGGGACCTTGCGGAGACTCGGACGAGTGTGGCCGCGGGTATGGAAAGCACCCGTAAATAACATGTTGACAAAGACATACATCATCTAGAACATCTGACTGCGTGCCGAAAGCGACCATGTCGTCAAAAATGAACAAAGAGACCCATGGAAACGTGACGACGGCTTCCGCAGCTCCATCACTTTGGGGAGACGGTGTCTTCTCCCGGCAGAGAAGACAATGCGACCCTGTAGCCTTTTAAGGCGCCTTGTACCCGCCAGTGATGTGCCGGTTCCGCCTAATGGCCGGCCGCCTTGTTTCAGGTCCGAGAGAGAAGGTCGTGCATGTATCTGGTACCGCGAAGCTGAATTGTCCCCGCGGCAGGGAGGCGAGGAAGAGCATGCTGCTCGTGGAGCTCCGCTGGTACCGGAACGATCAACTGTTCATGACGAAGCGAACCAGAAGTGACATGGCCGACTTCACGACCCGTGACCCGAGGACCTCTCTCCAGAGAAACAGGTGAAAGGGTCAAACAGCGCCATACGCTGCTGTGGCTGGTCGTGCGAACGCGAGCCAAATTCACTGTAACTGACGATGGCGATAACCTGCGTTCGATATACTTCGCCATGTGTGTAGCAAGCTGCAAGGTCAGCGAAACTGTGTCTAATTTCGCTTCAGCGAAATTAAAGGGAATGGCTCAAGTTTGAGGATATTGAAACAAACATCAGATGCGATGAAACAAGCTCACTTTTAGCTATTGGTGTACTTTTGAAGTGGAAAAGACTGCTCTAGACAGTACGATTCTCTGTTTACTAGACATGCTCCTCAATGCGTCATGGTTTAAAATACGTCATTGTACCTTGCACAGCTTTGATTGAGAGTCAGTTGACGGCTGTTATATCTGCAAAGTGCGCTCACGAACGCCAGATATGAACGCATCGACAATCATATAATTAATGGCCTTGATCGTCGCATAGGCTATGGACTGGCAGGATTTGAATGGCGTCATTATGACGTCACGAATGCCGAAGTGACTTGAAATACTCTGCCCGGTATACCTTTCCCCATTTTCGCGGGCATGTAGCTCAGAAACTAAAAGGGTTAGGTCTTAAAAGGGCAGGACTGTGAACAGCACCGGAAGATCTTAAATATCTTTAAGATGGCTATTTCATTTCAAAGCTCCACATCAGTGGCTCCCTCCAACGCCGGTCTCAACTCACGTCAATGTGCCAATACGCGTCAGCCTGGACACTATGTGCCAGTGCGCGTCAGCCTGGACACTCTGTGCCAGTGCACGTCAGCCTGGACACTCTGTGCCAGTGCGCGTCAGCCTGGACACTATGTGTCAGTGCGCGTCAGCCTGGACACTATTTGCCAGTGTGCGTCAGCCTGGACACTATGCACGTGCGCACGAGGCAGTGTGCTGTGTCAGCTGTTGTGGGGGCCAGGTCTGCAGACGGCGTGTCGCACCTGTCGCTGGGCACGTTTTCAGCTCATGGGTCTGCACGGGTCTTCTCGGTGGCAATGTGGCTCATTGTGGCTCAATGTGGCTGAAATTGTGAAACGTGTGACCGTGTCTCGGCACCTGTTGGTCGAGACGACAAGAAATTCACACGTAAACAGTCGTTTTTTTTATAGATACCAAAACACGTAGGCTTGGTAGACAGCCGCATTTTGGATTGCGTAGTGCCGGCTTGCGGTTGCGCGTGTAACGTTTCGCGTTTACAGGAGCGGTCTAGATGGGCTTGCCCGATTTTTACGATGTTTACTTTTACGCGGTGTCTCGGCGGCCAGAGCAGATGGAGGCATGCGAATTTCAAACCGTCGACCAGGGATGTACGCAGATAGCAGACCCGGGGGTGGGGGCGCGTGTCCTCCCCTCCCCGCCACACACCAGCTATATGGCACGTATTAATATGCACGTGACCAGATGTTGGCAGTTTGACAGGTAGCAGTTCCAGGGATAGACACGTAAACATTAGAACGTTAGGGACTTATGGTACTATTTTGCAACGCGCTTTTGCGGCTGTTATTTTACGATACACTTCAGTTGTGCCCCTCCCCCTCTACGTGAAATCCTGTGCGCGCCCCTAGCGTAGATCATTTTACCGTACAGAGTGAAATGGCCCAATCATCGCGCTGTCTTGTGCCTGGAAGTCACGGAACTTTCTTCAGCTGTCGTCCATGTAATAAATGTCATAGGAAAGCTGTATTGACGCGCTAATGCATTACTTCAACTCCTTGCACTGTGAGTGTAAAAGAAGCTGCACACATAAAGTGGGTAATAACTTACGAATAGTACGTGCTACTGAAGCTGGGGCCTAATGAGAGTGTTTTGCAGCTTCAATCGACGTCCGTGGCCACGAGAAGGCAGCACTGCGGAGTGCTCAATGAGACGTGCCTTAGAATGGCTGTGTCGCGCAGCAGCGTAGACGTTACAGCTGTATGAATCAGTGGCGACGGCAACCATAAGCCAGCCTGTCGCTGCCGCACGACGCCCGGGGCTCCGCTGGTGTTGGAAGCTGGGACGTTTCTTGGAAGGTGTTGATCAAGCAAATCTTCGGCTACATTAAACTTGTGGAGAGAGCCCATAAAAGCTGTACACCATTATAATCTCACTTTAGGAAGCAAGTGCTGGTAATAGCTGCATGCTTTAGATGAATTGTTATTGGTTCTTTGTCTCACAAGTGGTTTGAGCTTCGCATGCTCCGTCGACTGACAAAATGGACTAACACCTGTATTACCTGTTTGACTTGGTATGCGAAAGAAATGCTTCAATATCCCAGTTTTTGGCATTGTATGATCGGGGTTCTTATGCTGAATTGTCGACCGTCAACATGCTAGGAGGTAATGATTAACCGAGGATGTAGTGCAGGCATTGGCTATATGGACTACATTTGGACGCTGCGTTATAACAAAATAAATATAGGCTGTATTGCCAAAATAGCGTATGTTTGTAGTACGTCGTTTAACAAGTGCTTTCTGGCATATCTGAAGATCGACTATTCAGCCTCAAAACTCTGAACTGAGAATTCACTGTGAGGGTTTGTCTCAGGTTCTAATGAACACCTTCCCCAGCAGCTTGTGCTTACTTTCAGAACAGTGTGGAATTCGTAAGAGTTCAGAATTTTGGTATGATTTTCCTCCAGAATATGTTTATGAACAGGGACGGGGAGACGCGAGAGGTCAAGACAACATTTTCGTAAAACTTTTGCGTAGTTTACTCCATTTTGCTGCAGAGCAGAATTGGCTGGCAGCTGGCAGACTGGAGAGATGCGTGCATCCCCCACCTTGCACGCATCTCTCCAGTTCATCATTGCAACGTCCTGCGGGTTCGGCCTGATGTGGCGGATTGCGAGTGTCTCGAAATTGTACACATAATTGCAGAGTATGACGTCTGCGTCTACAAACAGCGCAAAAGTCACTTCTACATATAAAGCAATAAGCTATTCCACGTATTTCGCAGCTTTTGGGCTGCGTTGGGAGGCACTCCCTGCTTGCCGTCACTATTTCAGCTCCCATTCGATCAACAGTGGAAACACGTAATTTGTATGTCGCGAAGCAGCTGATGGCCGCGGGTCGGAAACATCGACGCCGGTGAGGGGCGCCGCTGTGACTGAGGACGTACTCATCGGCTCCTGTACGGGACTGGTGATCCAGAACGTACTGACCGATCCTCTCACAGGGATGACGATCCGGGACGTACTGACCGGCTCCTCTCTCCAGGCTGGTGACTAACCGGCTCCTCTTTCCAGGCTGATGGCTGGCCGGCTCATCTCTCCAGGCTGATGATCCGGGACGTACTGACCGGCTCCTCTCTCCAGGCTGGTGACTGATCGGCTCCTCCCTCCAGGCTGGTGACTGACCGGCTCCTCCCTCCAGGCTGATGGCTGGCCGGCTCATCTCTCCAGGCCGATGATCCGGGATGTACTGACCGGCTCCTCCCTCCAGGCTGGTGACTGACCGGCTCTCCCTCCAGGCTGGTGACTGACCGGCTCCTCTCTCCAGGCTGGTGACTGACCGGCTCCTCCCTCCAGGCTGGTGACTGACCGGCTCCTCCCTCCAGGCTGGTGACTGACCGGCTCCTCCCTCCAGGCTGGTGACTGACCGGCTCCTCTCTCCAGGCTGGTGATCCGGAACTCACGTCCGTCAGACGCCGGCAACTACGGCTGCCACGTGATCTGGCCGTTGCCGGAACGGTGGCAGAACTACAGCCTCCAGGTCACCAGAGTCGACTATGACGACAGCTACAGAGACGACTACGGCGACGAGCCGGCCGAGCGGGACAGCGGCAGCGTGGAGGAGGTCACGGACCTCTGCGCTGCCGTCGAGCCCGGTGCCACGCCTGGGACAAACGGCTCATTGGTGCCACGCGCGCCCCATTTCGACGAGATAGCCCGGCTGCGCCGGCTGGAGGTGGTGCTCGCCGGCAGCCCGGTCACCTTGCGCTGTCCCGGCCAGAGGTCAGGCCCGGCTCGGCGCGCTGGGGAGGCGCGCGGGCGTGCTGCACTGTCGGGGCGGAGGAGGCCGGGGGAGCGGTATCTGCCGAGAACGTAGGGGCCATGCGAAGCTGTCATCGGTTCAGCATGGCTTGTAGCGTGTTTGTGCTGAAAAAGCTTCGGGCATGAGTGTGTCCGGTCCGCGGCATTAGTCGCTTGAGCTCATCTCACCTTACCTTACGTTAGATGGAGTTCCTCACCTTCACCTTACCTTGCACCCCGCCACCTCCCGCAGGTTGCCCGCCGCCACGCGTCCACTGGCTGTACCAGGGCCGGCCGGTGCTGAAGGTGCCGCACGTAGCCGACGTCGCCACGTTCGGTGGCGGCTGGCTCCGCCTGGCCATGGCCGGCCACTTCCAGGAGGGCAGCTACACCTGCGTGGCCGAGAACGCACTGGGGAGCGTGCGCCACACCTGGGAGCTCGTGACTACCAGTCAGTGGTGGCGGCCGAGCTGGTGCGGCCCCCAGCCGGGCCAGCTCGGCCGCGGGCGTGTTCGGAGCTTGACGTGACTGGCACCATCTGTGGATGTGCTGCACGTGGGTGTGCTGTTGTTGGTGAGGTGGAACAATGAGCAGCCGGAGAGGGTTTTCCAGGTGACGGTCTGGCCTCTTCGACTCCGATTCTGTTTGAGGTCTGACCCTGATATGTGACCGTGATGCCGTTTAGACGCTGCACTGCCGCTCGTGTTTAGTTTCGGCCCGACCCGTGCCGGTTTGTTTCCAGCGGACGGTCTGTACAAGGACCCGGTAATCGAGCCGGGGTACCCGCGTAACGTGACGTCGCTGGCCGGCTCCAACGTGACGTTCGAGTGCCCCAGCTCCTGGGACTTCAACATGGACCTCTTCTGGACGTTCACGCGCTCGGGCACCTTTGAGGTGCACAATATGTCCGACATGAGCTACGCCATCCAGTTCGCCATCAGCGTTCACAAGGTACGGCTTGGCCCAGGCATGGACGGGCGCAGCGGCGGACGGGTCCGTATCAGGCGTACAGAATGAATGGAAAGAGCTGGAACGGTGGGGTGAAGCCCCGACGTACCGCCCCGCTGTGCACGGCTGGCCACGAGCGGCCACTGGGCCCCATCACCAGATCTGCGGGGTTCCGCGGAGCCTCGGCCGCCGCCAGCCCCCCGCCCAGCCGGGGGCGGCCGGGAGTGGCGTGGCAGTGACCGGCGCGCCGCGCCGCCCGTGCCGCAGCAACGCTACGACATCAGCGGCCGGCAGCGGCTGGTGGTGCGGGGCGTCAGCGGCGACGACAGCGGCTTCTACACCTGCCTGTTGTACAACCACATCGGCTTTGACATGGCGAACGCCCACCTGCGCGTGGTGGAAGGTGAGGAATGAGACGGGCTGGCCGCGTGACACGCGGAAGGCTGGCCGGGGCTCGAGTGTCGGTCAGAGCAGCGGCAGGGCTCTCGAGGAGGTAGGCTCGGGTGATATGAGGTCGGTGGGTCTGCGCTCCGCAGGTTTGCAAGTTCTGTGAACATGTTGGCGCTTGTTGCAATATAAGGCGGTGCTTGTTTGATGTGCGTTTGCTTGTGAGACCGTAACTGATTGCATGTTCGGCGGCTGTTGTATCGTCTGAAGGCATCCGGGACCGTGCAGCCTGAACGAGGATCGTGGTGCCACGCCTCGGCTAAATGAAGGTGCCGACCTTAAGCGCCAAGAGGACAAACAGCTTTGGTTGAGGACGTTTACCGTTGTCGCGCGGTAACATAAATCATGCTTGTTTGGTTTGGAGCAGCTCTGAGGTGTCGAATGGCAGGTAATGCCTGTCGCGACCGTTTTTTGAGGCACTCTCAAATCACTCAGACGTATCAGCAGTCCACTGTTAGAATACCATGCTGGCTATCGAGGTACCGGCGAGAGTCGAGACTTGGTGTTCCAAGGTGTCATCGGTGAGTTAAAAACTTACCGGCCTATGTCAAAGACGAGGTGCCAGGTCATGTGTTGGTACCGATGTCCTACCACGGGCATTTCGGCGTCACCTGTCTGAGAGAGGGCGCTGCGTGCGCGTATTTCCCAGAGGTGCCGCGGGCGGCGCTGCCCGTGCGGCCTGCCAACGCCAGCGCGCTGCTTGGCTCGCGCGTGACGCTGGAGTGTCCAGCTGCGGCCGCCGCCACCAGCGGCGAAGTCATCTGGCTGCGCTCCGAGACTGGCGCGGTCCAGCTGACGACGCCGCGGCAGTTGGAGCAGGCCAGGCAGCACGCGCTGTCCAGCTCAGAGGTGAACATTTAGCTCTGATCATCGCGGTCTGGGTTAGGCTGGGGTGTGTGCTCTATGTCCGGACTGGTGGTGATTTGTAGCCTCTCGTGCCAGCTGGTGTCTCCCGCATCGTGCTTCAGTCTCACTGACATCGGGGTCATCGTGTTGGGTTGGGCAAACCGCAAGCTTTGTTGCTCGCTGATCACGATTGTGTTTGTGGCGAGAAGCGGAAAGTGGGTGCCAAAGTCCAATGCAAATGAAGTACATTAGCACTTACTGTTGGTATCGTAGCCCGTACACCCTCGTTCGTGGTTTTGGAGACCGCCATGCTTGTTGCCGCAGGTTGACGGCAGTCGCTTCGACACGTCCTCGCCGCCCCGTCTGATCATCACGAACGTGACGGCCAACGACTCGGGGTACTACGTCTGCGTCGTCCACACTGCCTGGGACGTCGCATACGCCTCGGCCTATGTCGCAGTGGTGGAAGGTAAGACATGCTCGTGTCGTCCGCGGTGCCCGGTACGCCTCGGTCTAGGTCACAATGGTGGAAAGCAAGATATGCTCGTGTCGTCCGCGGTGCCCGGTACGCCTCGGTCTAGGTCACAATGGTGGAAGGCAAGATATGCTCGTGTCGTCCGCGGTGCCCGGTACGCCTCGCACGCTTCGGCGTGCGCCACAGCAGCCAAGGATGTGTCTGTGGCCAAGCCGCCGTTTTTTTTTTCTTGCGCCGCAGCACTCGCGAATGTGCTGCGATAACTCGGTAAAACAGTTCGAGTCTGGGATGACGCGGGGAGAGCGTCCAGTGGCGCCTCCGGTTTGGTGACGTGTCCCAGCCCGGTGCCCCCGCCGTCCGCACCATGCCGTACGTCCGCCCGCTCGGTGGCGCTGCAGGTCCGGGCGGACCGCCGGCACCGGCTCGCTGGCCGTTGGGGCTGATGTCGACGGCGATCGCCGCGGTCGTCGCCTGTGCGCTGCTCTCCGCGGCGCTCTGGTACGGCCGCCGCCGGTACAAGCGGCGCATCCGCACCCTGACCAGGCGTGTGGTGATCGAGGCGTCGCCGGAGGAGTTCGCCTTGCCCGTGGTGCGCATCGAGCCGTGCAGGTATGTGGCGCGCGCTTAGGGATGATGACTGTGTCGGCGGCGCGGAGTCCCGGGAGAGACGCTCCGCCAGCGTTCAGGGGATGGTCCGTCACCGTTCGCGTCGTGCCGGGGTGTGCTGTGTGGTGACCGAATGGCTACTCTGGGATGGTGCCACGCTTGTTGTCGGACGCGTTGTGCCATCCGACCGTGATGGCTGATGTCGATTGCAATGCTCCGGTTTGTGTTCAGCCTCCGATGTCCGTGTCCCGCAACGTGAGCGCTTACGTGGCCGAGTAGCCGGATACGCCCTATCGCGGTCCAGCACCGCGTGTCCCAGCTGTGGGGTGTGGCCGGGGAGAACGCGTGCTGCGTGTTGCGCGTGGCCGAGCCGACGTCGTCGTCTCCCCGTCAGAGCGTCGGAGGGTGGCGCGGCGTCGCCCGCCTACCTGCTGCCGTCGGACCCGGCCTGGGAGGTGGCGCACGATCGGCTCCAGCTGGCCGACTGTCTGGGCGAGGGCTGCTTCGGCCGCGTGGTACGCGCCCGCCTGCGGCCGGCCGGCCGGCAAACGCACCCCGTCCGCGTCGTCGCCGTCAAGATGCTGAAAGGTCAGCGGGTCAGAACTTGTGCTGTTGGGGTAGTGACGCTTTCGGCTGTTTAACGGTGTTTGTGAAACCGGCCGTCGTCGCCTTTTGTCATGTCGATTGTAGCGGAGATCGAAACGTGGCTGATGGCGAGTTTCGAACGCGCTGCTTCGGGGAGCCAGGGCGAGCGCCGTCCTGGGTTTCAACGTCCCCCGGATGAGCTATAGTTCTCGGGCCAGCCCGGCACCGGCGCCATGCCGAGACGACGAGCGCAGCCGGCGCTGGCGTGTGGCTAGCCGCTGCGTTGTTAGCCTGAGTCGCCGCGGTCATGCGGTCTCTGGGGGCTGTCCGCCGGCCGGCCCGGCTGGCGCGGCTTGTGATAGTGCGCCGGCACGCTGCGGGAGTGAGTGACAACTGGGAGGTGTCGCGGTGTGGTGTCATCCGGTGCCTGGTGCGGCGCGCCAGCCGCTAAACCGCCATCGATAGGAACAACTGACCGTCTCGGTTGCCGCGGCAGCTGGCTGATCTGAGGCTGCGGGCAGCGGCGGCCGGTGAGGGCTGCTCGGTTGGGTGGAGGCTGTCGGCTACATTGGTGTTCTGACGACTGGCGGACCGGCGGTTCACAGAGCACCACCGCGACACGGACCTGATGGACCTGGTCTCCGAAATGGAGATGATGAAGAAGGTCGGATCGCACGTGAACGTCGTCAGCCTGATCGGCGCTTGCACGCGCGGCAGCTCTCTGATGGTCATCATGGAGTACGCCGAGCACGGTCAGCGCGGCGTCACCCTTCCGGGCTCTGCCCTCTCCCCCGCTGGAGACGGTGACACGGTGTGCTTGGTCGGCGCAGCCAACAGATCACAGTCGTTGCAGGAGGGGGGAGGGGGGGGGGGGGTCAACAGTCCGTCGGGTGTGCCAGTTGCGAGCGGTATGTGAATGCGTTGATTGCAACACTGCACACGTTGCAACACCTCGGGCTCCGGATGCGGGCTCCAAACCACGCTGTTAGGAAACGCAACAGCGTCTTAGAAAGTCCTAAGGCACAAGCAAAAGTTAACAACAACGCTGAATTGACTCATCTAGGCGACATTGGGGCTCACAAGCCTGGGGAAGCTGACCAGTATTCATGTGTACGACACAGTGCTGCAGCGATACATGCACCTGGCGTGTGCCGCAGTTGGAGCCGGTCCTGTCCGTGCACGCCCTTCCATCTCTCAGAAGGCAACAGGTGCCGCGCCCGTTGGCTGACCGCCCCTCCCCCAGGCAACCTCCTGACGTACCTGCGCGAGAGGGCAGAGTGCGAGCGGCCGTTCGACTCCGAGCTGCCCTTTCCGTGCGACCTGGTCAACTTCGCCTTCCAGGTGGCCCGCGGGATGGAGTACCTGGCCAGCCGGAAGGTACGTACCGCGGTCGCCTTAGCGGCGCCGGTCTGTCCGTTGTTGGACAGGTTTGGCTGGCTCGGTGTTGCATGGCTTAGATAGCTGCTTTGTCTCCGACTGCTGGATGTCAGTACGTACGTGCGCTGCTCCTCTGAGACCGTCCTGTTCTGGTTATTTCTGTAGTGGAGCGCGTCTGATGCTTCAAGCCCGCGTTGTGAAGTCTCGCCCGTCGTCGCAGTTCCGGTTCGTCTGGTTCGTTCGTTCGTTGCCGCTCTGGTTCGTTCGATCAGCTCGGGCGTTGCGGCTCCATTTGCGACACTTTACACACCTTACCATACACCTTACCCCACACCTTACCCTACACCTTACCCTACACCTTACCCCACACCTTACTCCACACCTTACCCCGTGCCTTACCCCACACCTTACCCTACACCTTATCCCACACCTTACCCCACACCTTACTCTACACCTTACCCTACACCTTACCCCACACCTTACCCCACACCTACCCCGGTCACTGACCAGTTGCTACTGGATATTCCTAGTGCAGAGACGATAAGCAACACTGTTGAGAAGATGCGGGACTTTCCATAGCGCTGCAGCCCACAGCTGTCCTGTCAGACATGCCATCCCTCACTACACCGAGCGCTGCGAAGGCCCGCCGCCGCCCGACGACAGGTGGCACTAGCCACCGCACCGCGCCTTCCACCGCACCGCTTGCCACCGCACCGCATTGCCACCGCACCGCGTCTTCCACCGCACCGCTTGCCACCACACCGCGTCTTCCATCGCACCGCTTGCCACCGCGCGGTCGGGCGTCGCCGAGAGACGCTGCACTGAACGGTCACCTCTCCGCCGCCAGTGTATCCACCGAGACCTGGCCGCCCGGAACGTGCTGGTCGGCGAGGACAAGACGCTGAAGATCGCTGACTTTGGCATGGCCAGGGACGTCAGGGAAAAGGACTACTACCGCAAGGTCACCGGTGGCCGGCTGCCGGTCAAGTGGATGGCGCCCGAGGCGCTGTTCGACCAACTTTACACCACTGGGTCTGATGTGTACGTACGCTGACGCTGTGGTCATGGGTCTGTGATGCCACCCGTGGCTCAAACGTACGCTTGTGTGTGCGGTGGGCAGGGATGGACCTCCTTTTTGTATGACGGTGTGGGAAGGAATGCAGGTGAATGTACTGCAGAGGGCACATCTGACAGGAACCGTTTGGAGCGCGGCGCTTCTGCGGGCTGGCTGCCTGGAAATGCGCCTCTGGTTACGTCTCGTGGGGACTTGTGGAATCAAGAAGCGGACATTTTAAGGGTACCTCTGCCAGGCGCTATTGTTGACACCAGACTGCTCCCGGCCGGCAGCTGGTCGTTCGGCGTGCTGTTGTGGGAGATCATGACGATGGGCTGCGCGCCATACCCGACCGTCAACAGCGTGGACGAGCTGGGCGACTGGCTGCGGCAGGGTCGGCGCATGGCCCGGCCGGCCGCCTGTCCCGCCAGCGTGTGAGTCCCACCGGGGTCTTTGCGGTGTCGCTGGCGCCGGTGCCGCCGCCGCCGGCTGGCCACACGCCTTCGGCCGGGAAGAAACGGCTCAACGGGCTCGGCACCTACAGCTGCACCGTAGAATTATAGGTTTTGGCATTGTAGTTTTGTGTGTTGTAAATATTTTTGATTCCAGCTGTTTTCTGCTGTGGCTAATAGCACCTTAAGCACTTCACGTTGTACTGTCATTACGCTCGATGTTTTTTTCGTGGCTGCACATGCTCTATCAAGAGCAGTTACTCCCGTTTTTTTGTACATTATCGTACCGGTGCAATAGTGCTGTCATGTTCCCATATGCGCGCGGCGCATGTGACGTAAACAATACAACCTCTCATGCTTTTAAAGCTGGCCGGGTTGTTGCTCGGCAGCTGGGAGAAACGCCATCAGACGTTTGTTGCCCGGGCTCCTGGAGGGCCACCACCCGATGTCTTGTGTAGTGACGCCTGATGCTATGTCTACGGGGTCTGGTAAGTGCCCACCGCCCAGCACTGGCCGAACACGGGACCAGGCTCCGACAATCGGGGCATATACGTTAATGCATATCTCGCCGCGCCATCTTTTGTCACGGCCCACCGGCCGGCCGTGTCAGCGGACCTGCCCGAGCGGCGGTCCCGGCGCGGTCCGCCGCGGAGGCTGCGCAGCTCGAGACCCGAGGCCGGTCCGTGACGCGTCCGCGCCCCGCCGCAGGTACGACGTGATGCTGGACTGCTGGCATCAGGAGCCGGCCGAGCGGCCCTCGTTCGGCCGGCTGGTGCAGCGGCTGGACGCGGTGCTGGCGGTGCTGACGTCCATGGTACGGCTGCAGCGCAGCACTCTAGGCACGGGGACACGGGAGCTCACAGTGTTGGAGCCTGGTGAGGCGGTGTTGCCAGCTGGCCAGGCGGCGCGGGCGGCGCGGGCGGCCGCAGCATCGTCGCTGAAGGTCGTGATTCTGGCTGGGCTGCCGGCCATTGTCGGTGGGATGGAACGCCGCGGGGAGATTTGGGTTCGGAGACAGGCTTTTACGAGGCACAGAGACGTCGCGTGCATCGGGAGACCGAGACGTGGCCAATGTCGCCGACTGCAGGCTCGCAGCAGTGGGGTGGCTCGCGTCGCAGCAATACCCCCCCCCCCCCCCCCCCGGCGCAGTGTCCGGGCTGACGGCGAGGGTGACCTGTCCGGCTTCATC